CATGGACCTTACTGGACAAATAAAAAGAACACTGGAGGCAAAAATCTATTCATATTACAATGGAAGGACTACATCTTAAACCTACAAAAAACAAAGTCTCCCTACTATGCTTTCCAAAGGAAAGTGACTTTCTTTTACTTCGAATACATACAACCCTCTCAACCAAAAGTTATTATTAAAGTCAATTAGTAACATCATTATGAATTAAAGTCTATTAGTAATATCATTATGAACTAATTTATTGCCTACTACATTTTTGGAGGAAAAGTAAAAAAGTCAAGCCAAATATATATTTTTTTAAAAAAAGGTAATTGTAATGACTAATGTGAATAGTATCCAATTTTCTAAAACAATTATATTCCTTCACAGCTAACTTCCTGATCAATTTTTCCTGTTAGGGCTACTGACTCAAAGAAAAATAGAAGGCATATAATATTAATACAATCTAAAATTTTTAAGGTAAATATAATGCATTTTACTTATCAACTTTAAAAATTGCAAACATTGAATATTAAAATAAAATCATTACTTTTAAATGTCCATATTTTGGTATACTTCATTTATTCAGTCATTGAACATTTATGGGAAGGTCTATGCTGTACAAGAAACATCCTGTGGCCAGTTTAATATTAGAAACAAAGGAAGGAATGGAAAAAACATTAAGTAAACACAATGCAACTCCACAATGAAATTTTTAAAAACCATATATAGAAGAGAGAAATTTCAGATTGCCAGCCTCAATGTTTATGTCTTTACAACTACATATACAAATACAGAAATAGTCATTCATTCACTCAACAAATACCAAGCAATCATTAAACAGAAAACAATACTAGGCTATATGATGAAAGAGTAGTACTAACACTCAAGCTGCTTAAAATTAAGTTGAAGTCAACTTTAGTATTTACCACTCTAGATCTTATACTTTAAGAAATCAACATATTCAATAAAGACAATGAAAATTTGTGTTAGCACTCACTTAAAAATTTAGAACCACAAAATGCATCTGTTTACTTAGTATTTTATGTTTAAAGTTTCACTCTGAACTTTATACATTAAAAATACTCATGTAGATTTGAAAACTCTTTTCACAAACGTAGAGAAGAAAATAACAAAAATAAACTTATAAGGATATTTTATATTTAAATATGAATTTAATGACCTGAGATAGAACTGATTAATTCCAACTTTAAAAAACAGAAACTGCTTTTATATTCACACCAAGAGATACAAATAAAGTTATGTCATTTGTTCTTAATATTTAGTCAACTTCAAAATTAATATAATGTTGAGTACAGTCTTTCCCACAAGAAATCTACTAGTGTTAGCAAAAATATTCAAAACAAAATTTTGTATTTAATGTATGGGAAGATATATGAAATCAAGAAATGTTGAATAGATTTCAAGTATTAAAGAAAACCCAAAAACAAAAACAAAACAAGTATCGAATAATTCAGTGATATAAAAACTATAAAGAGCTGTTACATAAATTTAGTATTATTGATTTGTATAGATCAGATGAGTTTAACCTTAAAGCAAAGTTTATTTGACCTCTAAAAATTCAGGTGGGTCTTTAACAACCAAGGCATTAATCATAATATTAAGAGGCCAATAATGCAAGAGGCCAGAATCCTACCTTAATGAACTGATAGTAAATTTCTTAGATTCATTATTTTCTTAAAATTTATGTCTAGAGTCTCTGAATCCCTTCTAGCTGATTATGGGAAAAAGAAAGAGAGTAGGAGAAATAAACTTTTCAAACCAGAACCCAATTTTTTCCAGGTTACTTTCCTTCAGTTTACCTAATAAACTCGCAGAGTCGGTTAAAAATAGGAGGTACATTATTTTGTAAAAAAAAGTGTTTCTATCATTTGAATTTCACCATTTCTGTGTTATGTTTTACACAAATGTCTAAACTTAGTGTTGCCTCATCAAATTCAAGAAATAAATGTAAATCTCAAAATGTTTTGAAAAATCAAAATTTATATGCCTTTGATAAGAAATTATCAGAAAGTTGGCCGGGCACAGTGGCTCACGCCTGTAATCCCAGCACTTTGGGAGGCCAAGGTCGGCGGATTACCTAAGGTCAGGAGCTTGAGACCAGCCTGACCAACATGGAGAAACTCTATGTCTACTAAAAATACAAAATTACCTGGGCATGGCGGTGTATGCCTGTAATCCCAGCTACTTGGGAGGCTGAAGCAGGAGAATCGCTTGAACCCAGGAGGCAGAGGTTGCGGTGAGCCAAGATCGCGCCATTGCACTCCAGCCTGGGCAACAAGAGCGAAACTCCATCTCAAAAAAAAAGAGAAAAAGAAAAAGAAAAAAAGAAATGATCAGAAAGTAAAAAGTGTGGTATCTACCCTTAATAGGGGTTGGTTAAGACTAGCAGATATATTAGCAAACTGTATAGGACAAAACACAATTTAATGACAAATTGTCTGGCAGACTAAGCACTATAGGAAATCAATGAAGGGACTACTAATGAAAATAATATTATAGTTCAAAACGGTCTGAGAAAACAAAATTTTCTTTCTTTTTTTGATTTGAGTTTTACTCCCGTCACACAGACTGAAGTGCAAGGGGGTGATATGGAATCACTGCAACCTCCAACTCCGGGGTTCAAGCAATTCTCCTGCCTTAGCCTCCCAGGTAGCTGGGACTACAGGTGCACACCACCATGCTGGGCTAATTTTTATATTGTATTTTTTGTATAGATGAGGTTTTGCTATGTTGCCCAGGCTGGTCTCGAACTTCTGGGTTCAAGCAATCTGGCCACGTGGGCCTCCCAAAGTGCTGGGATTATAGGCGTGAGCCACCACACCCTGACCAAAAGTTTCTTATTCTTGTTTCTAGCTTAAAAAAGACAAATCGTTCCATTAGCTCTTCTCAACAACAAAAAATACTTAATTTACTGAATGTGCCCACTAAATTATATTTAAATACTTCAAAAGTATTGTATACACAAAAATTGGTAAACTTTCAGACTTCTTTCAGAACACATGTACCTAATAATTCTTGTAGCTATAAGTATAATGATGCAATGTTGAGAAAACAGCATGTTACAAGAGAATAAGCATATGTTTAGAGTCATATATGTGAGCAAAATCCTGTTTCTGCCACTTACTTGGCTTTTTAACCATGGGTAAGTTACTTAACCCATGCTGAGTCTGTTTCTTCTTAAGTGAAATAAGGATAACAACTACCTGCTAGGGTTGTTGAAAGAATTAAATGAGATATCATATGTTACATAACTAGCACAATGCCAGCCAGAAAAATAATCTGTGCTTATTAACTACTATAAATTCCACATGCAAACAAATTTCAACTACAGTGATATCAGAACACTAGAAGACTAGAATGCCCACTTTGCTTTATATTTTATTTCTCACTATAAAAACTAATACACTGACCTTCTATTTCTTAGTAAACATCAATGTGTTTGGTTTCCAATTCTGTAATTCTCATTTATTTTTGAGAATTTGAAAAAGTTTTTTTTTAACTTTTATTTTAAGTTCAGGGGTACAAGTGCAGGTTTGTTACATAGATAAACTTGTGTCATGTGGGTTTGTTATACAGATTATTGCATCACCCAGGTTTTAACCCTAATGCCCATTAGTTAATTATTCCTGATCCTCTCCCTCCTCCCACCCTTAAAAAGCCCCAGTAAGTGTTGTTCCCCAGTACGTATCCATGTGTGACAGACTTCTTTCCCCCAAAATGCCATATATATAAACAGTAATTTACATTAATTTGGGAACAGTAATAGATTCCCTGAAAACTAGATTAAAAATTATGCTTTTTAGACCATTTCAATTAAAATTTAGTCAATTAAATAAAATTAAAAACTCATTTCCTTAGTATCACTGGCCAAATCTTAAGTGTTTAATATCCACATAAGGCTAGTACCTATTGGATAGCACACATATAAAAGATCCATCATCTCAGAAGTTTCTATTGGACAGAGCTGGTCTGTAGTGTTATCATGGTGTGATAATTGAAACTACTTTTCTCTGCTTTTTATTTTTTAATATCGTGATACCTGTCTCTCAAGTACATGCCCCAAAAGGCAGAGGTTGTGAACATGTTGCTCACAACTGAATCTTAGTGTCTAGCACATTATAAGCATTCAATAGATATCTTACAGCTGACATTATAGTTTTGTTTTAGTTATACTAAGCTAGCAAAAACTGAGTTGGTAAAGGCCAGTTCTGAAAGCTATAAGTACAACAAGTAGAGAGTTAAGGAAAAAAAGTAGTAAGTCAACACACATGTGCTCTCAACTGATACGCTCCCAAAGACAATGAGGGCTCCGTATGTACAGACTAAGATTTTTTTAGTCAGATACACATATTAACTAGATCACTTAAACAAAGATTAGGCCTTGTCCACAGCCTATTCTATTCAAGAATAGAAAAAATGCCTATTTATAGCTCAATAATTTCATTATTCCCATATGGGTTTTTCCTAGTTTGGTAAATTTATTTTTAAATAGTATGTATATACTCACACACAATAATTTAACAAATAAAACATTTTAAAAATTCACTGGAAGCTTTATAACATAAAAGATTATGGTGGCTGGGTGTGGTGGCTCACACCTGTAATCCCAGCACTTTGGGAGGCCGAGGCGGGTGGATCACAAGGTCAGGAGTTCGAGACCAGTCTGACCAACATGGTGAAACCCTGCCTCTACTAAAACTACAAAAATTAGCTGGGTGTGGTGGCACACACCTGTAACCCCAGCTACTCACGAGGCTAAAGCAGGAGAATTGTTTGCACTCGGGAGGCGGAGGTTGCCGTGAGCAGGATTGCACCAGTACACTCCAGCCTGGGTAACGGAGCGAGACTCCATTTCAAAAATAAAAATTAAAAAAAAAAAAAAAAGAGTATAGCATCAAGATTTTAGAAAATCCATTTCTTGTCAATGTACCTGGAAACTAAGATAATTGCTGCTATATATGGAATAGAAAATAGTCTAATAATAATTTTGCACTTACACTGCCATATTTTTTCTAAGGGTATATTCATCCAAATCGTCATCAGAGCTGCTATCAGTTGCATCGGAATCCAAACCCTCTTCAACATGAGACAACAGCCCTGTAGCAGACAACGCAAATCTTTGGATTTCCGCAGCTGTACACCGTGCAAAGCCATTTTTTGCATCATCCCACAATTTATTCTCTGCAGTCAATGTGTTAACTTCTGGCTTAATTTCAGTGCATTTAGGTAAACTGTTACTCAAAATTGTGGTAGGTTCATGAAACATCTTCATTTTGGGGAGTTGGTGTTTCATAGACAATTTCATCTGCTGACCATAGTGCTTAACAACATGCTTTGCCAGGAGCATCTGCAAATGTTTCTGAGTTCTTCTAGCCTGGCTAAGTAAAATTTTCTGTTTGCTTACACAATGAAGTAAACGAGCATTTACTTCTTCCTCTTTTTCAGCAGCTGAAGAACTAATAGACACATTTGAGTGGCCAGCTACAATTTTCTTTTGAGCACAGTGCAATAAACCCTTTTTAATCTCAGCATCAGTAACTTTATCCAAAAGTGCATTCTCTTGATACCATTTACAGTTTTGTAGTTGTACTTTATCTACATTAGTGTCTTTGGTTATATTTGAATCCAAAATAATTTGTACATCTTTCATGCACTGGCTCGTGGTATCTGATAAAGGTTCCTTTTTGATGAACTCTTCAGAATGAGAAAGACAGATTTTACCGAGCTGAATGTTGCTGCCATTATACAGTATGTTTTTCAGCTTATTGCAACTGGGCTCCCCTAATTTCTTTTGTTTATAATTCTCATTGTATTTATTTAATGTAGAATTAGATCTCATTAAAAAAACAGTCTGGTAATGTTTTGAAGACTGAGGGGAGCCAAAATGTTTTAAATTCACAAAATTAGTATTTAGAGTAGATTCGGGAGTTGGAAATCCAAGCATCTGAGAAAAGGTGTCTCCCTTTAGCTTTTCATCTACAGTTCTTGGACTTTCCATGTAGAGCATCTTGTCAGACTCCATGGTACTTGGCAAAGATGAAAAGCCGATATCCTTTGCTGTTGCCTCCCTCAGAGCTGGGGTCATGGCGATTCCTGTAGATAAGTAATGGAAACCTAAAGTAATGTAAAAATAAATGGTCAAATATCTAGAAAAAAATTTTATGCTTATACTTTTTCCTAAGGGCAACATGTTCGATATTTCTGATTAAAACATGAAGGAACAAAACTCCTCCTTCATCTCCCAACTCCCAACATTATTTCAACAAAGATAAAGCTATTCTTCCCTCTGACTGGGGGCCTAATAGCTAAAGCTCCAATTAAAGCTACACATTGCTAGTACACAATAGGTGTTCAACAAATATTTGTGGATGTAATTACATCTCAGAATTCCATTTTTTTACATTTAGTTACAGTCCAAAGAAAAAATATTCCAGCCTAGAATCTGATAATAACAATTGAAAATGTGACTCAATTATGCACTTTCAGTCAAAAATACGAATTACTTATCTTTATAAAATATAATAAATTGCTCTAAAGTTCTATTCCTGAATTTAATCATCACAGCCTGAATGGTATTAATAACAAGAATTAAAATATAATAAATAATGTGTAGGAAGACCTAAGTGAGGCCGGATGTGGTAGCTCACGCCTGTAATCCCAGCGCTTTGGGAGGCCGAGGTGGGCGGATCACCTGAGATCAGGAGTTGGAGTTCACCACGGCCAACGTGGCAAAACTCTGTCTCTACTAAAAATATAAAAATTAGCCAGGCATGGTGGTGGGCAACTGTAATCCCAGCTACTTGGGAGGCTGAGGCAGGAGAATTGCTTGAACCCGGGAGGCAGAGGTTGAAGTGAGCAGAGATCACGCCAATGCACTCCAGCCTGTGCACCAGAGTGAGACTCAAAAAAAAAAAAAAAAAAAAGAAGACAACCTAAGTGAGCAGAACTAAAAACATATAACTTCACAGCTGTTAAAAATATGTAATAGTAAAAACTTGCCTAATGCAATGTTTCCTCTAAAAATATCTGCAATTTTACCTTTTTCACAAATGAATATGCACCAGAAGGCATTATTCCTGCCTAGAAAATAGTGGAGACAGTGTCAGATAACCACTAAAGATTTATCCCATAATTAAACAAATTTCATTGCATATTATCAAAAGTATAAATCCATATATTGATTCACAGAAAAAGGCAACCCAGTACCATTAAACATTATGAAGCCTGGTTAGTAAAGTAATTGTACATCATCAACAATTATAACTTTTTAAAGATACCTAGTATTTTGTAACCTTGATATGCCATAATTTTTGTTTCAACACATAACAGTTGATAGTCATTTAAATGGATACACTCTCACAGTTTCTGTCCCCAAGTGCTAGTTATAACTCTACTTCCTTTATTCCTACTTAAAAACACAAAACCAAAAGCTGATTCTTTACAAAGTCCAACAAAAATGATCAAGAAGAAAATAAAAGCACAACAATGTCTATGTAATAAAAAAAAAAGGGGTTACTAGCAAAATGACAGAGTAGGAGAAAATATTTGCAACATATATATCAGACAAGTATTAGTATCTAGATTATAGGAGGAATTCCTACAAATGAGCAAAAGATAGAGCAGTCAGGCACTTCACAGATGATGATATCCAAATGGTCACTAAACACAGACTTAATCACACTAGTAATCAGGGGAATATAGATTAACAAAACAAGAGCCCAGTTTTCCAATCACCAAACTGATACAGACTTTTTTTCTGAAAACATCACATACATATCATGAGATGTAAGACTTCTCATATCTATTGGGATCATAAATTGGTTCAGTAATTTGACCACAATGTAGAAAATGTGTTTGTCACAGGTACCAAAGAGTAATGTTCGTAATGGCAAAACATCCTTTCAAAACAATCTAGACGCCTAACAATAACAAAATAGATTTTAAAAAATGTAACGGAATACTATATTGTAGTTAAAAAGGAATGACTTAAAGCATCAATACGGAAAGACCTTAAAAACAATATCAAGTTAAAAAGAAAAAAGAACACTGTAAAATATATATAGTATAGTACCATATAAATATAATACAAACACAAAACCTTACCATATATATGTATACATTCGTGTCTGTCTGCAAGAATAAAAAGTGAACCAGAAAAATATCTACCAAACTTGTACCAGTAGTTGCATCAAGTTAGGTTCCATAAAACAGAATTAAAAGTAATAGTTTAAGGGGATTTGCATTTTAACTACAAAATCTTACTACTTGAAGGGAAAAGACTAAATGTAAAATGAATAAATGTTAATAGTTGTTAATACTGAGTGAAAAAAATTATAGACGTTTTTAATGTATACACTTTATTGTATGTCTCAATGAGTTTTCCCCAAATTCACTATGTCTCAAAATTTATACACTTTTATATAATGCCTCAAAAATAAGCAAATAGGTTCCCATTTATCCTAAATGGAAAAAAAAAAAAAAGATTTTTTTTTCAGTTTATACTCTTCTTTTATGGAAATAGAAAAACAATTCTAAAACAAGCTAGCATTAGGAAATTTCTTCCAAGATTCAAGTTGTTCCATGACCAACTCAAAGACCTGTATCTTCTAATCAATAAACACCCATAATAGTATTTAGTGTCTACATTGTTCTCTGAGGCAAACTGCTTTAATCACAGTTCTTGTTGATGTTACAGCAATATTCAAAAGATACTAAACTATCTCCCACACCACACACCTGTCCCTCTCAAAAATCTGAACAGAGTACTATGAATATAATCAAACTAGCTAGCAGCAGGGACAGAAGGTGAAATATCACAAGGCAGGAGAATTCATCTTAGTGCCTGGATAAAGATAGGGAAAAGCTAAATATAACAAGTAGAGAAAAGAGGCTGGGTGCAATTGCTCATGCCTGTAATCTGAGCACTTTGGGAAGTCAAGGTGAAGGATTGCTTGAGTCCAGGAGTTCGAGACCAGCCTGGATGACACAGGGAGACCTCTTCTCTACAAATACTAAAAAATATCCTAGGTGTGGTGACATGTGCCAGTGGTACCAGCTACTTGAGAGGCTAAGGCAGGAAGATCACTTGAGCCTGGACGTTGAAGCTGCAGTGAGCTGTGATTATACCACTGCCCTTCAGCCTGAGCAACAGAGCAAGACACTGTCTCAGAAAAAAAAAAAAAAAAAGATACACATGGCTGGGCACAGTGGCTCATGCCTATAATCCCAGCACTTTGGGAGGCCAAAGAGGTGGATCATTTGAGCCCAGGACTTCAAGACCAACCTAGGCAACATGGTGAAATCCAGGCTCTACAAAAAAAAAATAGTGCCACTGCACTCCAGCTTGAGTGACAGAGCAAGACCCTGTCCAAAAAAAAAAAAAAAAAAAAAGCAGATTAGTATTTAAGAAATACAATTCATAGCAAAAAGAGAAAGGGAAAAAATGCAAAGATTAAAAGTGGCTAAGGCCCATTTATGGTAGAGAACTAGAAAAAAACATATACACAAAATCTCTGGTGAGATTTCTAGGCCTTACTGGTAGGATAAGTAGCTTCCAAAATGACCTTAATAATCCCCACCCTCTTAGTATTCATGCCCTTGTTTAATCCTCTCCTAGAATAAGGACTGGATTTAGTGACTCACTTTTAATGAAAATGTAGCAGAGGTGATGAGATGACTTCTGAGATTAGGTTACAAAGAGACTGTGGCTTCCATCTGGCCACCCTCTCTTATTCAGGAAAGCCAGCTGCCATGTTATGAAGTGGAAAGACCAACATGGTAAAGAAACGATGTCTTCAACGAACATATAGCAAAGAATCTGAAGCCTGCTAACAGCAATGTGAGTGATCTGAGACACAGATCCTTCCCAGTAATGCCTTGAGATGACTGTTGCTCTAGCCAATACCTTAACAACAGCCTTATGGAGACCTTGAGCCAGAGGCACCCAGCTAAGCTTACATGCCTAGATACTCAACACACAGAAATTATGAAATAGTATGTAATTTAAGCCACTAAATTTGGGGGTAACATATTACACAGTAATAAATAATGAATACACTTGGATATGAAGACTTTTAAGCTCTAGTCTATGAAAGACCTGGACATATCATAGCTCTTATTCTGTGATTTCCAAACCTAGCCTAAATAAGTCTCTCTACTTTGCAACCAAAAGAAACTAATGAAAATAGCTATGTCTCCTATAAATAAAAAAGATTAAATTATGTTCAGTATAGCTTAAGCATAAAATATAAGTACATTTCTTCCAATTATTTAAATTATCTAGATATATAATCATTTTATATAACAATGTTTCCCTACTGAATATTCCAAACTACCACTTCTGATGACCTTCATATTACATAAACAACTACACTTACCACTAACACTTCTAAGCTCTTCAAAGGCTTAGATTTTTGAACAGTTTTATTAACTACTGTATCCTCAACATGCAAATCTATCTGACACACAGAAGATGCCCAACAAACACCTGGTGAGAAAATGAGTGGTTGCCAGTATATTTAAAATCCAAAGTTGTCCTTACTATAGCCTACAAAATTGGTATTATCAGGTTCCTGACTACTTTGCCTTCTACAACTCTTTCCATGAATTACTACACTCCAGAAACACTGGCCTCTATGCTATATTTGAAACACACCAGGCAAGTCTCTGACACAGGGACTTTGTGTTTGCTATTCTCTCAGCCTAAAAAATTTTTTTACAAATAAGATGGCTGGCTCCCTCACTTCATTTGTTTCTCTTCTAAGGTCACCTCATTAGAGTCCTTCACTGACCAATATATTTAAAATAGCTTCAGCCTCTTGGTTCATGATTCTCCATTCCCTTACACTGCTTTATTGCTCTTCATAGCTACCTGACATTATATTACATTCTAGGAAAGAATGTAGTTTAAGTGCAAGAACTCAATGTTCTAATCTCCAGCACTAGAATAATGCCTGGCACACAGTAATTATCATGTATTTGTTGACTAAATTCATAAATGAATTGATCATGATATTTAAAGGCATTTCAATGGATTCTGGTACTCACAAGCAGTAACAACACCTATTTCAATTACTATTTTTTAAATGTACAAAACAAAAATATATAGAAAGGATACTATGTTCAAGTATGGCTTATTTCATGAATACAAGACTGGTTCAACATTAAAGAAAACAATAGGCCGGGCACGGTGGCTCACGCCTGTAATCCCAGCACTTTGGAAGGCCGAGGCGGGCGGATCACAAGGTCAGGAGATCGAGATCATCCTGGCTAACACGGTGAAACCCCATCTCTACTAAAAGTACAAAAAATTAGCCAGGTGTGGTGGCAGGCACCAGTAGTCCCAGCTACTTAGGAGGCTGAGGTAGGAGAATGGCGTGAACCCGGGAGGCAGAGCTTGCAGTGAGCCGAGATCTCACCACTGCACTCCGGCCTGGGCGACAGAGCAAGACTCCGTCTCAAAAAAAAAAAAAGAAAAAGAAAAAAAAACAAAACAATAACTAAAACTCACCATATCAAAAGACTAAAGAGAAACCATATGATATGATGTCAATAAATGGAGAAAAAGCATTTGACAAAATTCAATATTCATTCATGAGAAAAACTCAGCAAATTAGCAAGGAGAGGGAATTTCTTTAATCTGATAAAAAGCATCTACACAAATGCCTATAGCTCATCTCATAATTAATGGTGAAAGACTGAATGTTTCTGCCGTAAGACTGGGAATGAGGCAAGGTAGACATTTCTCACCACTCATATTCAATGTTGTAGTGGAAGACCTAGTTAGTACCATAGGGCAAGAAAAAAAAAGAAATAAAAAGCATACAGATTATAAAGTAAGTAAAATCATCTCTATTCACAGATGACATGATTTTCTACATAGAAAATCCCAAGGAATTAAACTCCTCGACTAAAGAATTTAATAAGGCAGCAAACGCAAGGTCGACATACAAAACTCATTTATATTTCTATATGCTAGAAATGAAAAACTAGAAATAGAAATTTTTAAACAGTCATAATTCTAACACTTGCAAAAATGCTTTGGTATAAATCTAAATAAAAGGTGATGCACATGATCTTTATACTGAAAAATACAAAACACCCATAAAAATATCAAGACCTAAATAGTGCATTACACTATGTTCACAGATAAAACTATTCAGTATTGTTATGATGCAAATTCTCCTCAAACTGATTTACAAGTTTAGGCACAAAATCTTGGCAGGACATTTTGCTGATATCTACAAGCTCATTCAAAGATTTATATGAAAGTTAAAGGAACCAGAATAGCCAAAACAAATTGGAAAAGAACAAAATTGAGGGATTCACACTACTTCCCAATTTATAGTAGCCAAGACAGTGTGGCATTAGCAAAAGGATGAACACACAAATGGAAAGAACAGAGCTCAGGAACAGACCCACGTACATATGGCCATTTTTTTTTTTTTTTTTTTGAGACTGACGCCCAGGCTGGAGTGAAATGGAGTGATCTCGGCTTGCTGCAACCTCTGCCTCACAGGTTCAAGTGATTCTCCCACCTTAGCCTCCCGAGTAGCTGGGATTACAGGTAGCCGCCATCATGCCCGGCTAATTTTTGTATTTTTGTAGAGATGGGGTTGCACTATGTTGGCCAGGCTGGTCTTAAACTCCCGACCTCAGGTGATCCGCCCACCTCAGCCTCCCAAAGTGCTGGGATTACAGGCATGAGCCACTGCGCCTGGCCTGATTATTTTGACAAAGATACCAAGGCAATTAAATGTAGAAAGCCTTGTTTCTTAAATCATATCACTCTAGACTAACTGGACATCCATAGGCAAAAAAAAAAAAAAAAAAAAAGGGAAACTGAATACATATTTCTACCTTATATAAAAATGGTCAGACCTATTGGCCAGGCGCGGTGGCTCACGCCTGTAATCCCAGCACTCTGGGAGGCCGAGGCAGCCGGATCACGAGGTCAGGAGATTGAGACCATCCTGGTTAACACAGTGAAACCCCATCTCTACTAAAAAAATACAAAAAATTAGCCGGGCGTAGTGGCGGGCGCCTGTAGTCCCAGCTACAGGAGGCTGAGGCGGGAGAACGGCGTGAACCCGGGAGGCGAAGCTTGCAGTGAGCGGAGATCGCGGTACTGGACTCCAGCCTGGTCGACAGAGCGAGACTCCGTACAACTTCTAGGAAAAAAAATTAGAAAAAATGTTTGTGACACTGCTTTAGGCAAAGATTTTTTTAGATATGATACCAAAAGCATTATTCACAAAACGCTGCTAAATTGGACTTCCTAAAAATTAAATACTAAACTTTTAAAAATAATTATTTAAAATAGTACTGCTGGGAACCTCTGACATATATATTCAGAAGATAATGTGTTCAAGAGTTAGTAGAAATCAGATGTGCATATTACTGAAAGTCACTGAGTTTATCATTCAGATTAATGCTGAATGGTGGTTTTGACCATGATATAGTTTTAAATTTTATTTTTTTAAGGTATTATTTCATTTATACAGATAGACAATTTGTTAAAGGCAAAATGAGTAAGGAGGAATACTGATTTGAAAAGCATAAAAATTCTTTTAAAAAATTTGTTTTAATTTTTGTGGGTACAAAGAAGGTGTATATATTTATGGGGTAGACGATGAGTGTGCATGGTGGCTCACGCCTGTGATCCTAGTATGGTGGGAGGCCAAGGCGGGAGGATCACTTGAGCCCAGGAGTTTGAGACCAGCCTGTGCAATATGGTGAGACCCTGTCTCTATTTTTAAAAATATATATACACATATATTTTTATCCAAGACTAATTGGATATATCCAATAGATATGAAGAATTGGGGTTCATATCCAAGTGTATTCATTATTTATTACTGTGTAATATATTACCCCCAAATTCAGTGCCTCAGGTATATATATTTATATATATATATAAATAAAAATTTAAAAATTAAATTCAAGACAGAGTCAACAACGTTTGACAAACACTTAATAGGAATTAAGGGAAAGGAAGGAATCAAGGATGACTCCTAGGTTTTTGGCTTGAGCACTGGGTGGTCAGGTCAGTGGTGCTATTTTCTGAAAGGGGTCGGACTCAGGGAGAAAGAAAGTTGAAGAAGAAAAACATAAAAATTTCTGTTTTGGATATGTTACTTTTTAAGTGTCTATTAAGCATTCAAGTGGAAACAGCTATAAAAACAAGTCTGGAGTTCAAGCAAGAATTCATAATTAGAGAGATTATTTTGCAGAGTCACTGGCATATAAATAGTATTTACCCTAGGGAGTGGGTATAAACAAAGAAGAGAAAGGAGCTCAGGACAAAACGTGGGGGTTTACTAACATTTACTTGAGCAAAGGAAGAGGAGCTATAAAAGAGGAAGAGCCCCCCCAAAAAAAACTGAAAAGATCATCAGTGAGATAGGAAGAAATCCAGAAGTGTATGAAATAAAGATACCAACGTGTTTAGAAGTGTATAACATGGTTGGTTCTGTCAAATGCTAAAGAGGTCAAGCAAGGTGAAGACAGCAAAGCCAATATTACTTTTTAAGGAATGTATTGAGAAGTCTTGCTTTTAAAAAGTTACGTATTAACTAAATATCCAACTCCAGCAGCCTCTAGCCATTCTATCCTATCTAAGTGGAGGAAAAACTAAGAAGCAGGAGTGAAGTTCATAGCCCAGGGCACAAGCTCACTGAAAGACAGACTTTACCACTGGCATATAGAACATCTTTTCTACCCTTACATCTTATTAAAAGCCTATTTACTAGAGTTCCTTTTACTCAGCACATCATGTTCAGCTTTCAAGAGAAAACTACAAGGCATACTAAAAGGCAAACAACATAGTTTGAAGAAACAGCAAGCATCAGAACCAGATTAGATATGCCAGGGATGTTGGAATTACCAGACCAAGAATTTAAGACAACTATGATTAATATGCTAAGGCCTCTAATGGAAAAAAAAAAAGCCAACATGCAACAAATGACAGGTAATGTAAGAAGAGAGATGGAAATTCTAAACAGAATAAAAATGAAATGCTAGAAATCAAAAACACTGCAACAGAAATAATGCCTTTGATGGACTTAGTAGTAGACTGAATGTGGTGGAAGAAAGCAGCACTAAGCTTGAAGAGATGAAACCTCCAAAACTAAAAAGGGAAGAGAACAAAGATGGCAGGGGGTTTGGGGAAGAAGAGAATATCCAACCAAGAACTGTGGGACAATTACAAATGATGTAACATATGCAATAATGGGAATACCAGAAGAAGAGAAAAAGAAAAGAAAAAAATACTTGAAACAATAATGACTAAGAATTTCTCCAAATTAATGTCAGACACCAAACCACATATCCAGAAAGCTCAGAGAACACCAAACTATCACTTAATAAATGAAGCACTATATAAAATTACATTACCTGAAATTTATATACAAAAGTGTTCTTACAACAAACAGTCCATTTAAAAATTTTTACTAGAAATTACTTCATCACATATTTTCCCCAAATAGATCAAAAGCTACATGAAGGCAGGTGTTATGTGTTCACTCGTCATGGTATTCTAGAATAGTTTATGGCACATAGCAGGCAGGCTCATAATAAATATTTCTTGAATAAATACTACCCAAAATGGAAAAATTATTTTAAAGTTTCAGGGAAGAAGGTTCATGAGATACTTTATTGTGAAGGAGTCTCAAGGCAAAAAAATTAGGAAACATTAGTATAGAATGTAACTGTCCAATAGATATATGACGTGGTTACACATGTAATTTTAAACTTGCTACTACTAGACATATTTTTTAAAGAAACATGAAAAATTAAATTTCATCCTATATATAAAATATTATATATCAACATGTAATCAATATATAAACATCTTGATATTTTCTGTTCCTCTGTATTTGTGCCAAGCCTTGTAACCAGGGATCAATTATCGACTGTTGTATTTCAGTCCCCCAATTTTTTGGCCAAATATATTGCTTAATATTTTCAGGCACCTATAGTATTCTAGGCTATACGGAAAGTTTATGGAAAATAAATCCTCAAATAGCTTTCTAAAAATCACCTTGATCTTCCTATAAATATTCAGTTTCTAATTATTTAGGTTTCCAATTACACACATAACTGGGCAGGAGTATTTGGATCCTTGCTAAATCTAAGAAATGTCTTTATGACTACCAAAATACTTCATTATATTACTCTAGGCACCACCATCATCTTTGATGATTATTTCTTTCATATACACCCAGGAT